CCCCAAAACCCCAAAACCCCAAAACCCCAAAACCCCAAAACCCCAAAACCCCAAAACCCCAATGTTGGTCATGAGATTGAGAGTTAGTAGAACAGGTAAATGTCAGCAAGTGATCCATCGGTCACTTCCACTGGATGATTCTCGATAATGGCTCTCCTCTCTTCTTCAGGGGTTCCATACTTGTGAGTGTTCTTCCTACATTCTGTTACGAAGAAGTCTGACATGTACTGAGCTAGGTGATGTTAGACAATGCTTTCGAAATCCAATCTCCAAATTCTACAGATTTAATTTTGAAAAGTGTGACGTTTGCTTTTAAAGAAACTTACTTAGCTGTAAGGCTAGCTTGGAATGAGAGGCTAGAATAGTCTCTTTCCAGACAAATGAGTTCTTTTCAGGATGCCATTGGTTGGAGTAGATCGGGTAGTCTTTATGCTCAATACTTGTCACCATCGGGCGTCCATCTCTGTCTCTAGAATAGGCCAAGACATTATACTTTTTTAACCCAACATCATATTTATAAGCGAATGGATCGAGTCTAAAATCATTGTTATGGAAAGCGATTTCTTTTGTCTCAAGAGCTTTGATTAAGTCATCACTCATTTCCTTGTAAATCCTTCCTCTGATGATTTCACCATTTTCATCTCTAACAAATTCTAGCTTTCTTGGGATATTTTTAGCAGTAGCATGTGAGAGTCTTCCATACTCAGGACCCTCAATTATGCTGAGTTGTTGGAATCCTTGGCAGATAGCCCATACTGGGAAGTAACTCCCTTCATCGTTGATTTCTTTGGCTTGATCAAGAACGAACTTTACTCTGTTGGTATAATCTGAGAAAATCAAGGAAATAGGGTCTTGGATCACTTGACCTCCTCCAGCTATAATCACTCCATTCACCCTTTTTAAGGTAGCTGTGATATTCTCAAAAGAATTATCCCAATGGAGAGGAATGACTCTTCCTCCAGCTTGGAAAACGAATTTAGCATATGCAGCCATTATGTAGGAATTATATGGTGGTGATTTAGTTCTGGGCTGTGTCAAAATGGCTATTATCGGCCTTGAATTGGGGATATCCTCTGCATATCTATAAAGCTTTATCACTATCTAATCCTCGTCTACTGGAGCATTCTTAAGCTGTGATACTTACTCTTCAACTTTATTGGTAAGCTTCAAACTCTTCTTTTTCTCAGAGAATTCTTTGAGTTCCTCAAGTGTAAGGTCTTGATCATATCCTGAGCATTAGAAAAGATAAATACCATATTCTCGAATAAGCTCCTTGACGCTTGGAAGATCTTCGAACACAAACCCAGCTGTGGCTTGGACCAATCAGACCATTAAGAGGTACTAAATTAAATAGTAATCGCTTCTTTTCCATTTCCTTACCAGAATTACAGTCCTCATGTTTATAATTTAATCTAATACATTTCTTACCGAATTGGGGTTTTGGGGTTTTGGGGTTTTGGGGTTTTGGGGTTTTGGGG